GTGTGTGTGGGGGGGGTGCTCTCCGTCCCATATCTTGCTTCAAACGACCCTTTTATCCGAGAGCACGCTGAGCTGAAGCAGGAAGAAATCAGGATTAGGCCTATTAGCTGAGCCATGGACAGAAACCAATGAATGGATCATAACGTTTTCGAAACGGTTGGCATGTTTTTTTTCTTGCAAACAGACGACGCTGAAGATTAAGCCGAAAACACCTACAGAAAAATCCACTAATCTCCACCCACTGTAACCACACGCGCGCCTCTTTACCGTACCACTGCATGGATAATACGCTCGCGTCATACGCAAAGGCATAAGGGCCACTTCGGTTGCTCAATTACGGCTGATGAACTTGGTCAAACCATCCAGCAAAAAGAATGCCAGACCTTGATGTAGGACAGTTTGGGCAGCGAGGAGCCCGCGTTGCCGATCAGAGTGGTCATGGTCAGCACCGTGGTGATCCCCAGCGCAGTGCGGGCCGGTGTAGATGATCGGGGAATCCAGAAGGACACCCAGGAGACGATGACAATCAGTGTGGCTGGCAGGTAGACGTTGATCAGGTAGTAGGAGATCTCACGACCCAGGTAGAAGTCCGCTATCAGCTGAGAATAGTTACCGACTGCGTGGAGGAACGGAGGTCATGGATAACTGATTCAAGCACACATGCATGCAAGAAATATTGCATGTAGTTGGGGGTGAAGATAGATTGGTTCAAAGTACAACAATCCCTGGTAATGAGCTTATTTCTCCTATCTGATTTCAAATGGAAAAAAAGTTACATAAGTTGTTTCAGAACATAATGGCGTTTTATGTTTGAAGGGGGATTTTGACAGCATTAGATACAGGTGTGTACATTGGTGCCCTTCCGGTAATTTATATTGCCATGCCATATGAGCTTTAAAAAAACACATTTGTGAGTTTTGCATCTCTCTCTCTTTTCTTCTTTGTCTTTTTTATTGTTCCCTTCCTTTTGGGGGGGGGAGACTTCTTCGAAGGTGTGCATTCCTCTCAACATGGAGGGTTTTTTTCGTTATAACCTGCACTTGCAACATGCATAATAGCATGGAACTGTGGAGCTAATTAACAGGTAAAAAGCTCCACTTGTGCCTACTTAGAACACAAGGGGAATAATTTACATAATATTAATGGGGAAATCAGCATGCAAAACTGATCATTGTTTAAAATTCACAAAGTGAATTGAAACACACATTGGAATGTTTTATTTATCTCACAGGTCTGTGTGTAATATCCCCCGTGCAGTACACTCTTGGACGTGCTGATTTTGTCGATTAGTAAAATTTTCCGAACTGAAGCCAACCCCTCCGATTTAATGCTACATTATTATGCTTTTCAGGCGTAAGATTTCGGGTATGCATTCGTAAAATGTGGAACAGCTCTTGTTTACGTTGCAGCGTGCCATTATCGACATGGCATGGAATTTTATTTAGCATCGCAATGTGTTATTCACCTGAGCATAACTTGCAATTAATACCTTCTACTGGCTGTATTATCAATTGATTCGCTTTACAATTTTGTCACATCGTCGCGTCCCATTGCCAGTGCGACTTATACATAATTGATAGACTGGAGACCGGTGAGGCAGACACTGAAGCGTCAGCCCGTGGGGGGTTGTGGCTTGCTGCTACCGCCTGATGCTCTGAGAAATAGACGCCCTCATGGACGTGCCATGCTTTCGAAAGTCTGGAAACATTACAAATTGCATCCAGGCTACGCCCTTTTCCCTTCAACCAGAGTTTGTGACCTTCAAAGATTAACTGTTCGACATTGCAGCCAAGATAGAAAAGTCATCAAGCTTGAACAGTTTTCAAAGTAAAATAAAAGTTGAACATGATGGACATTTTGTAAACTGCCTACACCTAGGAACTTAATGTGAATATACAATTGTGGATCACAAAGTGATTACCGTAGTACTGCGCTGTGTTGGTTCGGTGACCGCTACCCAGAAATTGGAACTGAGGCAGAGTGACCGCCTCGTCCACGTAGATGGGGCCAGAGGGGATCCAGTGGTAATGAACGTGATTATCACTATAAGCATCTGCGGGGAAAAGAAGGGATGAAAGCATGGCATGATAAGAGTGAGGAGCAGTATGGGTAATAACGAAGAGAGATCCATCTTATTGACAAACAAGTAGATGGGGAAATAGGTGAGGGTTATTGGGTGGGGAATAAGGAATGGATGCACAAAGTGTTAGTTTAGAAGATGGTGCTACGAGTACAGATGATGGTATTAATGACGAGAGTGATAACAGTGGAGACGACGTTTGTAAATGGTGGTGACACAGGTGTACATCGAATAATACCTAGCAAGTAATTACATCAACCAATCAAACAGTGGTTCTTACAGCTTTCCATAGTTAGGGAGCATCGCTGTTTATCCATGGGGAAGAATGCGAGATTCATGTAACAGCTGGCTGTCACAGTCAACCTAAACAAACAAAACAATGCTTCAATTTTAATGTTTTCATGGGTAAAGATTAAAACTGCATCATGGATAATAACGTTGGCTATTATTGATCACAGTAATTTAGTCGTGTATTTGTAATAATTACATCTACACAATTAGCTTAAATTAAGATCCATAAAAATCCTAATAGTTAAAAAGTACAAGGTGTTATTGCATACAGACGTCCCAAACTGTTTTTACCAATCTCACCTGGTGCTATAAAGAATATTTCCAGCCGGGTCCATTCGAATGAGCGTGTTCTTATAGAGGACAGTGTGAAACTTTGCCGACTTCTCATTGACAAAGTAAGTGTCCGGTACCCAGAGTCGGTCCACCATTTCCGAGTTCAGCGACAGCACACTGACGTCACCGACGAATCGCAGTCGTTCGTCTGTCCACTGTTGCCGGAAGTACACGTCCAGCGTGTATTGCTGTGGAAGACAAACAAATTATTGTGATTGTAGTATTGTTCTCAACTGTAGTATCTCAACTTTTTGCAAATATCGTCCCAAATTATTTTTTAAAAATACCATCTCAGGCAATGAACTAGATCGCACACTGTCTATTAGTCAGTTTAAAAACGCATAAACAATATGAGTATATTTCCACCAAATTCTGACTTTGAAGATTGTATTTATCCAAAAATCACAACTTTTTGCGTTATTTTGTGTTATTGCGCCGTCCTGAGTTTTATCCAAACGCGTAAATACGACCACATCTGAGCCGATAAATTGACCTAGCATTTCAAGTGGCAAAGTTCTCCATAGCAATTAATCAAGACTTTTAGACACCTGGTGGCCACAAACATTACGGTCCTTTTCACCAGTTCTGAGCACGCGCAATGCCTTGAATAAGGGCCGGTATGTCTGCCGCCACCAGCGTCTCAAAGTCTCTCAATAATAAAGAGTTGGAGAATGTAAACGAGCATTTACCATCTGGGCCTCAGACACTGGGCCGATGCTATAGACGTACATACTGATGTTTACAGGAACAGAGACACCTATAAACGTTGACAAAAACGGGAAAACGTGAGCATATTGTAACACATGACCAATGGATATGGACAAATGTAAATAGTAAACCCCTGGTGTTATATTTGCACTAACTTTATTGGAGGGGGGTTGTACAGTATCGATGAGTTCATTTCCATCTCTATGTTTATAAAACTTGTTCATTTCATTTTCCTCGTTGCATTTATTAGGCAGGGAATATCGAATCAGTTATCGTTCTGGCAAATATCTCCCTTAACAAACGTGGCTATACTTGTCTCCAGGGAAATCGATATTGCTTTTTCCCCGTTCGTGTTCCCTCTCCTATGTTACCGTGATAAGATCAATTTTTTTCAGGCTTCCTGACAAGCTGGGCTCTGCACATAGGACCAAATTAGGCCGTACCCCAAACGGGCCTTTGGCGCACGGCTCCGTCTATCGGCAGCGTGCCCCCCCCAGACAAAACCCTGTATACCTTGCTCCAGACACACGATTCAGGCGCGGCCTCAGCGAGGTCTTTGTTGTTAGGTTGGTAACGATTTCTGGTATTGAAATAGGTATGGTAATTGAACATTGTCCTCTTAACGAACAAGGTATGTTATGCTAAACAGGCAAAGTCCTTAAACAGATGGTGTTATGTAACTGAACTTTAAAACTTAATGGAAACATCTTTAATTCTACAAGCTTAATTAGTTTACTTTTTTAGAATAAACATACTCATCAGTCTGTAATTTTTACATTCGTCACCAGCTCGGTTGATAACTGTGAGTATAAATAAAAACTTAAGGAAGCTGCTTAGGTGTATTCAATTTTGAATTTTTGCCATTAAGTGCGCAACCGCAAGAACGATGGTGTTTATTTGGTGTTGTTTTACACCTTAACTGTTTTCTGATGACACCTAGGGTGTTAAATTAATAGCACAGTTTTTTTGCAGTGCATCTTGTGTATTTTTTAAATTTATAACTGGTAACACTGTATTCATCTCACCCCCGAAGTTTGGTCTTAGCCTCTTGTCGTAGCCATCCAATAGTGTGTTCAGGATAGCCGAGACATTGTCTGCCTTCCTGGATGACAACTGACCAACACTGGAGAAGCAAGTAAAATTTGATGTGAAGGTCGGAGTGGGCCCCGATAATACACTACTCAATAGAATTAAAGGAACAAGAGAACAGAATGTTTTTGTCATGGTCTATATGGGCTACCGTTAGAACAAGAGGCATAAAAGTTATGTGACAACACCTTATTCTTATGAGAAGTATAAATTATAATACATCTACTAGGAATGCAGTCGGCATAGCCTGCGCATGCATGCATCAGCATGCTATGCAAGCGAGTAAGCTGTATTTAGCGGCACTGCAATCATTCTATAGCATCGACAGATTTCTTATGATCAGCCAGCCCTTAGTTAGAAAACCTCAAGTTCTTGCAGCCTACAAGTAGAACCGATGACGTGAAACGCCTTTCAGCTCCCCTTTCCAAAAGATTTCGTCTGTTTGTTCGTGTACCTAGGAGTATGACGGCTCAAGGTGCGTAGTAGCCAAGATTCTGTCTGCCTATTGCAAAATGGAACTTCGTCCCACTATACCCTTTTTCTCAGTTTCGTTTTTGTTTAATCATTCCAATGAAATCTTCAACTGTGCACCCCCCGGCTACGCAACCGAAGGGCACCAGTCTCCCTTCAAAGAGATTAAAAACCGAAGTAGAATGATGATAGTAACAACTTCAGTTCGCCCAAAACATGGAAGATAATGTTCTTACCTTCCTTCCGCCTGAATCTCTGTGGCAAAAAGTTGGACGAATAAACAACCAGATAAGGCCAAAGTAACACCTGAGAGAAAGTGCGCCATTTTACCTAACCGATTACCAGTCATATATGTGCGTTCTATCCCGAAAGACATCGACAAGTACTATTGAGGTAAATGGAGGAGCTCGCCCCGTGCATGCAAATGACACTGCAGAGATCGATAATTGTAACCGGTTTGACAATGGGAACTTTCTCCCGAAGGAATGTATTCTGCCTGTGGCACATCCTAGAAGTTCGATTCATTGATCTCAACCCACAAAGAGAATCAATGGAACACAATGTCAGCATGGAATTCCTTTTTTCTTTTGTCACCTGACTTTATTACAATACTAAAAGCATGGTTACAAACTTCAAGTCTGCTTTGGTTGTACGATATTCTTTCACAGTTAATATCCCTACATGATTTATTGTATGTGTGAAGAGTTAAAAACTTAAACCTCAGCCTCATAGTTATTGTCTCTAATAGGAAAGGCAGATTGACTCCTCAAAAACCACATTCCCCGCGTGGTTTATCTTGGTAGTTTTTCGGTAGCCCTGTGTAGCGATTGCGTCGTATGCTGTGGTGGTGGTGGGGGGGAGGGATTCTGGAGGGAAAAGGGCTTGATGAAATAGGCGCGCCAAGTGTTTTGAAGAGAGGGCGCCACTCAACGTGGAATAACAGAAAGACATTCATTAAATCTAAAGAATTGATTTTTTTCCCACGTGCTGGATTTTGTAAGGAGAACATGCCCGCGAAGCCTTACATCTTCGTCTATCCGACACGAAAGACAGTTGCCAAAGTATCCCGACTTTTAGCTTAAAACAATGAATACACGCAGTTGGTTTGTCAGGGCAATACATCAGTGAGAACACCGAATTCTGAATTAGAATATTCCCACTCTTTTTTTTCTTTGTAAGCACGGGTTTCCACGGGGTGTATTGGAAAAGGGGAATATATCCAGGAGAATATTGTGTCCTGGTAAAAACGCTGCACACGCTGATTTATGGCTAAATTACATGCTCTATAAAATGAAAATGAGAAACCTTCCAAAGAATTTAATCACATGAAACTCTACTAACCACGTTGGAAAAGCAATGCTGGCCAACGTGCCACATCAATCATATTTGGATGAAATAGAAGGACCTACAGAAGCGGGTCTACAGGCTCATAATGTAGAGAAGAAAGTTTTTCCTCCAGTATTTTCTTAATTTAAACCAATTCGCAGAAGGTGCACCGTACGTTTGGAGTTCATATTCAAGCCTTCAAACCTTGGAGAAGACGTTTTGTTGTTTATTTACAATCTGCACTACTTGTCGTGTCACACTTGCTCTCGACAAAGCATTTTCCCTTGATTTCTGAAATAATCCTACGCTCAAATCAGTGGGACAGAATTGGGAGCAGCATGGAAGCTAGTAGAGTTGAAATATCTCCTAATATGCAACATGCCTGTTTACCTTTTCTGTCTTTAACATTTACCACATGAAAAAAGCGAATACAGTATATGTACCTAATACAGTTATGGAAATTTCACAACTAGGACGTTTGCACGAACATGGAGATCAACTTACGAATACACTACGTACATTTGATCCTGGTAAATGTATCCATACAACGTAAACCTCGACACACTTTAGTGTCAATTTGAATACATTCTGTAAATCAAACGAGTATATGTTAACACGTGAAGCAAAATTACAATGACATTTCACCGGAAGGAAAGGCTTGAACCCCAGTCACTTGATTGGAAAGCAACTGTTTTACCGCGATACCATCAACGCTCGCTTACATCCCTTAATGGGTTTGTGCAGCAATAGAGCGACATTGCGCCCGCTAAATAACGTGACCTATAGTGGGTATCAACCCCAAAGCAACGTGTGTTTTGAGTGTTGATTACAAACAGTACAGCCAAGTTACAGTATAGTACGAAGCACACAGTAGTCTACGGAACTTACCGGCTTTGATTTACTTTGCTCTTGATAGACGCCGTGTTTCTTGATGGTGAGTACCACTCTAGGTCACATGACTGAGAGGGCGCAATCGGTCTATTGATTTGTGTACTCGCTCGATGAATTAGTTTTTATGAGATTATCACTGATATGTACAAATGTAAAACGGCTGAACCTATATGAACCTACCGAACCTACCGCTTTATCAAATTTGAAATAAAAAGCTTTACTGAAGACGAACAGGGTGACCTGAAGACGAACAGAGCATACTGTTCGGAACGTCGAGAGTTCACCATCGGCTCTGCTCAGAACCACACGCTCATAGAAGAGATTCCTCCTTGTACATGGTGCAACCGCAAGCCTTTATACCTAATTTACAGTACTTCCACGATTCATAGCTTCAAGTCTTATCTAAACAGCTTTACGGTTAAATATAACTTTATAATTTCAAGGTAACATTTCCTTGGCATGAAAGTAGCATATTCTTTCAAACTGTATATGGTATTGCATTGCATGTCTCTGTTGTTATGTAACTTTTACTCATGCAATACCGTATACAGTTTGAAGGAATATGCTGCTTTCATGCCAAGGAAATGAAAAGCTACATAACAACAGAGACACACTTTTTAAAATGACAGCAAAATTTGTAGATTCTTTCGTAACAATCCTAGCTATTTATTTACAAAATAGAACAAATTTACATTTGAATGAGTTTTCTTGTAGTGAGCATTTTGCTTCTTTGCAGAAAAACTTAGCTCAGTGTAGGGTTGGTTCTTAGACAAGCAACTACGAAGAGGGTGATTTCAATATTATTAGTTATTATTATTAAGAGCAACCTTTTATTTATTCACACTCTCCCACGGAAACTAGAAGGACGCCATCTCGGTTTCTACACCTCCGTCTGGCTACCGTCCTTTGGTGGGACTTTTGGCTTGTCTACTGGAGTTGTCTGAAAGCAAAAAACGGAATATAAAGCACAAAATGCTTTAATCCTTCCATTGGGTTAGTTTTTCCTATTTATCCATTTTCGAAAAATCGCATGATGCGAGATTTTTGTCACTGAATCTGGTTTTTCTTTTGTTTAAATTTCCTGTAGAAAATGTTTATAAGCGTGTATTATACAGAGTATGTTCAGCATCTCCAATCAAAATTCGTTGCGAATATGAAACGAAGCATCCATTCAAACAAATTGTTCTTATTTATCAAGAAATCACCGGATTCACTGATCATTGTTGAACAAGCCTTGCCTCCGTCTCAGTGCTTGGTGCTGACGTGTTGGCCTTCGGATGCAGCTGGCTAGCTAAGTCGGCATTCTCTCCCGTCACAGACAGACGCACCTTGGCGCGCATGGCAGCAGCTAGGCTCGTCTGTAATGAACAGTCCCACCCAGACACAAAAAATTGGGGAAAACAGAGCATCTGATGTCCATCATAGCACGCACTCTGAAACATCCATTTCACATTTTATTCCAATCCTTGATCCTTGTACAGCCAGAAGCTGTAGCACAAGGGAGATATCAAATTTTTAAATTCAAAGACTCCACATCTAAGACATAACGGATGGAAATTATCCCCGTAATCTGAATAACTGTGGGTTTACGTGGTCCAAAGAAATGGGTTGTTTCAAAAACAACAGTCGAATTGGTAACGTGTCTGTCGTACCTTTTGTTTACGAGACTGCGACCGTGATTTACAGTAGAACTCCACAATTGCCGACAAGAGAGCCAGCGCTAAACCTCCCACGAGGATATAGAACACACCGGCCACGTTGCTTAGGGTCAAGGCGTTGGAGCCGGAATCCTGAAACAAGGAATAATCAAAACAGATTCACCAACGCCGCATACAATGTGGAATCACTCACGTATTAGCTCAGAAGTAGGGCACATACCGAGTTGGCCTCGTGGCACTGTCCCTTGTCAAACCACCATCGTTTCTTAAGGGCGTCCAGAACGCCTTCCTCCCGTAGCTGCAGAACAGCCAGTGTGAGATCATCCCTTGGGAGAGGAATTAAAAGAGAAGGCTTATTTACAGGGAGAAAAAGGCGCCAGGCTGTATCCTCGCGAGATAGAAATAGGTATTTTTCCAATGTCGGAAACTCCCCTACTTTAATACGAATATTTAAGTATGTAATCAATGGAAAAGCAGGTTTTGTCGGTACAGGACGTACAAACTCGTCTTCTGAATGGTGGACTGGATGAAATTGAAGATTCTTCACTTCCTACAAGCAGAGCAACTGATACCATTTGAGTAAACTGAATTTTCAATGAAGAAATGAGAGGGTAAACCTGACCTGCATCTTTGAAACCCAGCTACGAAGCTTTCTCAGCGACCAGTACCTTTTCAGAGTATTAAGCTGGGTAGTATACTTTTACCTGAAAGTGGTGAAATTCCGCGAGACTCCGATGCCGTAGCTCTTGGAGTCCAGGTTCTGGCCAACCTTCATGGTGTCGCAGGGTTTCTGCTGGCTGAAGTATTCGTTCAGCGTGGACTCCACCAGGAAGGCGAACTTGCCGTTCATGTGACGCACTCGCTCTACGCCCTGCTCGTTGCTCGTCACCAAGACGGAACGCTCCGTGCTGTTCATGTAGTTCCACATATCCACATACAATGGGATGTTGGATTGCTGTTGGGGAACAGAGTGAAAAGAAGGAATATGGCTCCAGGACACAAGTGACAAACTCCGCGGAGTTCAGTGGCGTACATCTGTGTTTGGGACTGAGGAGGTTGGGGGATGACTGAAATAAAAAGGCCTGGGCGTGGAAACTTGAAAGGGGGGGTTGTGCACCCTACATGACACCAGGGCGCCCTGTTCATGATACATACAATGTATGAACAACTTGCGGGTGTATTTGCTGAAATTAGATCACAACGGCATATTTAAAGCACGGGTACTTTTCCCTCCCCTTTTCAGTGCCATATTGAATGAAAGTTGGTTGTTGGGAAGTCCGAAAAGTATACATCCCATCTGCCCTTTTTGCATTCTCACCACGAAAAAGTGTGGGACGATCCAGTGGCCTACCCCCCAGGTCAAAAAGTGTGTGGGGGGAGATTATATATACCCCATCCCCGTGTTTTCTGAGACTCAACTCTCACCTCTTCCACTAAGTCAGTGTCAGTTTGAGCCTCCTATGGTGTCATCTACACCTCCTGTTGATACTTAAGATGGTGACCATAATGATGATAAACAATACGGTATCGATTTATCATCTCAATGCGCTAAGCAAGAGGTGTTACCCTCGATTCTCCTCACCCTAAAGAACTCTTCGGTCGAGCCTGCCCCCACCATGCCGTAAGATACATCCTTGCTGTTCACCAGGTCTTGAGCTGACTGGATGTCCGTCACCATGCGTTCCACGGTCAGGAAGGCGGCCAGGTTGGCCGTGTAGGACGAAATGATGATGAGAGTGAAGAACCACCACACGCCCCCAACGATCCGACCGGACAAAGACCTGCCAAGAAATCTTAAATTCTTTGCAAGGTCCTGCCAATTTCAGTTTCTTAGGTAGTGTATTTGTCAAAGTATCAAAACACAATGCACGTGCAAGTTCTCCTATCCAACACCCCTTCACATTCAGTGAAGTTTGAACTTTTTGTGGGTTATGCCTTCAAACAAAATTTTACCTGTACTTATAAATCATTCAATAGAAATTCGGGGAGTTTTGCCAATTTTATAATAGATAACCCTAGTTTTGCTTCACACTGAAATTCCCATCGCGGATACAAAACTGCCACAGGCTTCCTGATTTGCACCACTTCAGCACAACCTCTCCCCGGAGATGGCTTCCTCTGTAAACCCCATACCTGGGCGAGATGTCGCTTCCTTGCTGCATCAGAGCACCGAAGGAGAACCAGAGGCTGTTGGTGATGCTGAAATCGTTGGTGGTTTGCCCCTGGGATGGGCTGGCCCCGTTAGTCTCGTCCGTCGGGACACGGGTGTATTCGACGGGGTACCACTCTTTGGGGCTGAACCGACTGACGAGGAACAGGACCACGCTGACACCTGACAGTGAAAAATCATACACCAAAACTTTACAAGATTCGAAGTTAAATCGTATTTCCTTACGAGCCACAATTTGATGCATGTGGGCCTTTACAATCTCTTCCTAATCTAAATTAAAACAAGTGTCCGTAGCTCATGTCTCTTAAACTAGACAAAATTTAATAAAGACATTTTGCAATCGCCTCTCTACGAAATATCGAAGATATTGGAACCGAGAATACAATCAATTGGTGATTTAAGTTTAACAAAATCCCTTGCATGAAATCTGATTGACAGCTACCGAGGGCATCAGCTAGATTACCTGCATAGGCAAGCACGATGCACATCCAGATCTCGTAGGACAGCGGATGCATGAAGGAGAAGACGTCAGGCTTGGTCGTGTGTGGTTTCTTGATCATGATGCTAATGCCAAGGCTCATGAAGGGTTTGGTGAAGTCTATGACTCTCTCTCGGTCCGATATGATGGTGAGCGGTGCTACTGCAATGTCTGCCTCCTTTGGAAGAAAAAAAACCAAGACAAATCATTTAGAAGTGCGGTGCCAATAGCCAGAAAGCAATACGTTGTCGTGCTGATCAAAGAAGTATAAAGGGTGCGTAAAATCAGGGGATTTCACACGTCATCTTGACAAGACACTCAGGAGACTAACAAGGCATGGTCTACCTTGTCGTTGTGGTGATCTTATAAAAACAGCAAAATTCTGCGAGTTTTGACGTCCGTAACCCTTGCCAGCATGGCAGGTTTTGTTCTCTGTGCAGGGGAAACGATGCTGTACCTCTTCATAATGTTGATGAGAAAAGTTCACTCTAACGTCACACGGATACCCGCCACTCGAAATCGAGCAAGGGGGTCGGGAAGACGAACTAAGCTGTGAGTGGAAACGATTACAGCAGAATCCCACAAAAGAGTTGGTACTTGGTTGTGAAAACATAGTCTCCCGCCCCTTTTGCCGTAGGCCTATGATAGGCGAGCCAGTGAGCTACATCGTATCATTTACGTACCCCAAGTAAACGACGAAATTCTAGGTAATCAATCTGGTCATTTTTCCCACATTAATTTTTCCTTTTAGAAAGAATTTCACACTTAACCAAATTCTCTTTAATTAAATTCTCTTCGGGCGTATTAATAACATCAAACAGAATTATATTCACATCTCCTGGAGTTCTGCAGATATCAAATTAGCAGTGTCTCTATGAAACAAGCTGCGACTCCCTTGATACTTACACCCCGGACAAGCTCGCCCACCATTCCGTTCCATGTGTTATTAACGAGGATACCGTACGTGTTGTCTCGGACCAGCTGGATCCTGTATTTGAAGGGGAACTTTTTAACGATTTCCTCCAGGAGGTCGATTGCGTAACCGTGGAAGCGGTCGTTGCCGGAGTAGAGATGACGGGGCTCCTTGCGCATCATGTATGGTTCCTCCTAAGGAACGGCGGAGGGGAGGCATAAATTAGGAGGAATGGGGACATTCCTAATTTAAAAATGGAATAATAAAGGTAAGGGGTTTGAAATTATACACTGTGTGATTTGAGAAATGTTGGAAACGAATGGTTGATTTGACCAGGTGAAGTAAGTTTTGCAATACTCTGACGGTGTTTTTCTCTTTTTGTTAGTGTCCAGTTACCTCTTTCCCTAGACGTCTTCAGGGCTTCAGTGACATTTAGTTTACTTAGAAAGCCTCCAAGAAGTTAGATCCGTCAGTATTCAGCGGACCAGTTTGCCTAATGTGCAGACTGAATTTCGGGCTATTGAACCCTCATGCATACAAACTAAGGGAATTTAGATTAATGATAGCATTAGCCCTAATCTGGACCAAGAGATTTTCCTAGAAACAGAGGCTCCTTTTGTCGGAACTGCACTTCGCTGGTTCACAAACGACTACGAACACGTTACGGGCGTGTCGCTACCAGTAAAATGTACACTCCCGACCAACATGGCTCTTTCCAACTGATGCGGGGGTGTTTCTGCTCAAGGCGGATACTGCTGTCAAGGCTATGAATGTCCCCGATGGGCATACAATGATCCGATCCCCGACTCACGAGAATAGAGGTGACGATGATGGTCTTATTATTGAAGTCAACCCGGTCCGTTCCGTCCCCGTAGGCGCCCGCGCTAAACTTAAGCCGAGTCTTGGCATCCGACTGCCAGGTTCCAACCTGACGTAAAGGACACAGAAAACAAAGTACAATTTCTTTTCATTTTAATAGATGCTGCTGTTTCTGTTAGAAACAAGACAACAGATTAAAAAAGTGAGGTGAAGTATTGTTGCTTGTTGACATTTTCAAGTTGATCCATTACCTCTCGCATTCCGTTTGAAAAGAGGTTGAGTATACGGACTACATAGTTGGACCGCTCACCGAAGCTGTCGAATGAAACAGGTCCTGAAGCCCCGTCAAATGACACCTGAAAAAAACAATAGTTCCGCCTGTTTGATTTCAGTCTTTTCAGCACTATCTGTTGATTGACAATTACATTTTAAAGCAACAGAATAAATTTTGAGAGCCATTAACGCCTTCTGTCTTCCTGTTATACCGTTTTCAGGGATTTCAAAACAGTTTTGTCAATTCCCCAGTGTCGGGAGCCGTCGCTGCCACAACTCCGTTGACCTCTATCTTTGAACAGCTTGAACTTGTTGTCTCTGATTAGTATGTACATCGTCTTGGCCATGACGTTAACTAGATCCATCATCAACGCTGACCTGTACTGTAAAAGGATATTTAATAATGGCACAATTAAAGATGTGTAAGTAGTTTGTGGAACCACAAAAAATGGCCGTACATCTTTATTCACTCATTTAATAATAGCCTTCTACAACCTGTGCATCCGTTCAAACAATAACTGTACTCTTCTTGACAAAGGTCCGGTCGTGAAAGCGAAATGGCCTGGATTACACGAGCACACAACATCTTTTCTGCGCTCGATAGCCGTCAAATTGCCAAAAATCTGGGGGAAAGAGTGCTGGAAAGGTCAGTGCCAAAATCTCTGTAAACCGTAGAATTCTGCACTTACAATGAACTTTTTGTGCTTGTAATGTCAGCAAAAAAGTTTCCGGGTTAAGGCTGTAAGCATAAAGAATCCTTTGAGATGTACACATACATATATCTGTTTTGTTTACTCTTGTTCCTGGTTTTATGTTTTCTGGCCAAGCCGTTCGCTGGGGGCATGTGCCCCTGTGCCCCCCCCCCCGTAGTTACGTCACTGCGCTACGACAAACTTTCCAATGCATGCTTTTTAAAGCACTAGTACTGTGATCTCTGCACAGATTTAAAGCTACTTCATGTATTTACATGTACTGATGAAGTGTTATGGACATATGGATCAAGATAACCAAAATGGGCACAGTTGTTACACTGAAGAACCTGATTTCAAAACATTTGTTTGTCAAAAAATCAGTCAAAGTCTGTCCCTAAATTAGTCGTACCATCAACAAAGTTTCACTCACCACCTAATTGGTTTTCATACACTAATTTTAATTAACCGATTGAAGTAAAATTGTCAGCACAATGTTGCTCGGGAGAATTCAATATGCACAGGGCTTCTAAGGTTTGTCAGACTCTTTCCCGCATTTCAATGTAGAATATAAGGCATATTGCGAGGATATATTTTTGTGTGTTATCTCAACGCATAAATCAATATTGGAAACTGCAATTTGCAAAAATGTTAATCATTTCAATACGAGCAGCAGATTGTCTGATTCTGTTCTATCAATTGAATTCGCTATGTAATTTCAAAAATGGGGAAAATGGATTTTTGAAGCTAATTTTACACTCTGTAAGAGCAAGGAATAATTTTAGAAATTTTTGAAATTTATAAAAATTATAACTGATAACAATGTCAGGGTTACACAAATAGAGTATAGTCTACCAACTGTTAAAAGACCGCAGTTCTTTTAGTTGTAAGGACCCCAGGAAGATTTAAACGGATTCTAACTCTAAAAGAGAAGGAAACACACTTTCAAATAGGTCTTGTTTCATTGATTTTTTAAATGATATTTTATATTTAAATGGGTCGAAGGTTAAAATTGTGTCAAAGGTCACAGTGACCCACTTTAATAAAACTTAATTTTCACAGTATTATTGATTAGATCATGTTATTCTTATAATTTTGATACCACATTTGCATATGTTCGGTGAAAACTGACAGGGTTATGATTTACTTTTACTGAAAGGATGTTGTCTTAAGCTTAAATTGTCTATTTCTGGTGATCTCCGCACTGACCACAAGGAACCGTGGATCACGCCAAAAATTAGTATGTCTTTATTACTCATCAATGTCTACAAACACTGCAATTTTTATCAAATTGGAGGATATAAGGTCAAAATATGTCAAAACAGTGTAGCATTTGCTCAATGCGTGCGTGGCAACCTGGACACACTACGCGCACCCGGGCTGCTAGCACGACGAAGACTACATCTGTAGAGCCCGGCGCCACGTCCGCCTCGACTAAAGGCGACACATAGACGCAAGGACGGCCAACAAACGCTTTGAAAGTCTCTGTGGCCATTATTTTCTCACATTTAAGTGTGTGTATATGCAGAGCCCCTCGCCAACCGTTTTCTGAATGCTGATTCTACGTACTGCCAACATACTGACGTACTGAGCGGGATACTCACGCTTACGTACTCCATGTTACGAGTAATGGACATGTTGTTCCTTCGCAGTTCTTCGTAATAGGTTTTAAGAAGCTGGAATCTCTGTGACGTTTCATTGACGATGCTAAACCCTGTGATGTTCATGCCACCAAGCTGAAACTTCTCCAGATTGACTTTACCAATATCCTGCAATAGGATGCACCGATGCCAAGTCACAAGGTGAATAAGAAGATATTTATTTATTGATTTCAAACTGTACTTTTTCTTCAAGTTTTTAGGTCCAAAGAAATGTGAACACCATTATATAGGGGCGAATGAAATATGGCGCATGGCGATGTTATGATGCGGGACAGAATACCTATCCACTTGACATGTTTCCATTGTAATACCCTGAACTCACGCGGTTTTGCTATTGAAACACTTAGCGATTCCAGTCATTTTACTCACAAGATCCAGAAAGATGTAGTGATAGGACGACGTCAACATACCAAGAAGTGGGATCTATTAAAAGGAAAAAAAACATGTATCCGTAACTTGTCAATTTGCCAATAAGGATTCAGGAGTCCTTTTGAAAAATTAAGCGTATGGCAAAATTAAACCCAATCCAACCTCAACACAAACCGATCGTAAGCGAAACCAACCCGGCCAAAACAAACACTAACCGCAAAAGTTTGTCATGTTCAAGATAAAACCCTTTTTTCCCGAGTGTCTAGGATGACAAGAAATCACTTGCCAAAAAGACAAGTTTCTACGAGCTTTCTATGAGCTTCAGGGGAACGCACGCTCCCTCCGATAGGATTCTAACCAATGACCTCTTGCTTACTAGTGCCGCCACGCGGCCACCGAGCTAGTCGCATATCGATACGGCAATGCGAACTGCAGTAATTTTGCCAGTATCTTTTTAGTGTGACAAGACGTAGTTCTCGTCACCGCGGCCAGAATTGATTGTATTCAGAATAACAACGTCTTCTGGCACTATGAGTCCATACAAATACCTTGTCGATATCTTGCCAGTATGACAAACGGACCTTGTATTCTCAGCGGCGTATCCAGCTTTTGGTGTAAGGGGGCAAATTCAAAAGCGAATGCGGCTTCGGGTTCATTCAATATCATCTTCAAAAGCCCTACTCACGGTCCCGACATCGCTACTTTTATTTGCTGGTGTTTTCTTCTGAGGGATTTGGTGCCAATATTTAAAAATAATTACATCGATTACTTTCTTTGCTACTCAGCTATGAAGTATTCTTTTAAAAAAATCGCCAGGAGGGGCAAGTTGCCCCCTCCCCGGATACGAGAACTGTTCTTGCCTTTGTATTTTACAGGCAAGAACAGTTCTCGACACAGTAATCAGAACCCACGCATGGAATGTTTTCAGTGAAGCTTAGACAAGAGGACCAAGTTCAACCCCTCCCATCTTTACCCGAACCAACCGACCCTTACTCAACCCCAACCCAAGCCGAAGCTAACCCAATCCAACCCAACCCAACCTAATCCAATCCAAGCCAAACCAACCCACGCCAAGCCAAGCCAACCCAATCCAAGCTAACCCAAGCCAAGCAAACCAAAGCTAACCCTACCCAACCCAACTACCCAATTCAACTACCCATCAGTGTCAACAAACGAGGTGTTTACAGAGAAATGCCCTGTTCGGAACACATGATATTACCTGATCGATAACGCATTGAAGTGAACTTTTCTCCTTAAAAATACATTTTAAGGCTATAAATTTGGGAAGTAAATATAGGCCTAGTAACATTCCACATTTAATCTTTTCTAATAGGAAAGAAAAGAAAAAATACCCGCTGGGATTCGAACACTCACAAAATCAGTTCTTTTCTTTTATCTACTACGCTACTCAAGCCAGCTCGACCGAACATCCTTTTATCCTTCGTTTGCGCCAACAACCCCACACAATGATGTCCAGTGAAGCTGTTACGTGAATCAGGTACTACCAAAATAACAGGGGCATTACTCTACAAGAAACCTTGTTTTTTTAACAGTGGTGGGTAGTGGACTCGGATGCATCAACCTACCTTCTCCATCAGTAACCTTGTGTTCGCCACGTTCGTATCGCAGATTATCCGGTGATAATCACTGTCCCTAAATTCCCTGAGGATTTGAATCATGGAAACTTCGCCCTCAGCTTTACGGAACGCAACATCAAATTTACGAAAGGACAACTTCTCCATGAGGGCGTGAAGTCGAAGTAACCCTGGTAAATTAATCGAAAATTAAAGCTTTGGTTATTTTCATTTTTAAATTCTACCCCAAAAGGTCAAAATATTACAATCTTCTGCAAACAACGCATTCAGTTCAATGCGATTACCTTTGTCACTGTCATAAATAAATGCAAATCGAGTCCACTGTCGGAACTGTATGACATCAAACAGGACGGGAACCAGCGACGGCATCAGAGACACCAGGTACTTCGTGCTTGGATCCTTGGTTTGGTATCCCAGGTCCCGTTTGGAAAGTGATGGGATAATGATGGGCATCTGAAAGGTGCCGCTATAGGACGCCGCCGTACCGATCAGCGGAGGTTCCACATCTGCACTGATCAGAAGAGCTCCCTTTCCAATGCTGAACAGGCTACATACTACGCATGGATTAAACAAGTGGATCTTACTTGGTTAATACAGTAAATACAGTATAAAATAATGTACAAGTCTAACATCACAGATTAAATTAAACAAAGAAATGAAGGAACGAGTAAATAACATATCTGCACATAAAATCAAACTAATTTGGGAAGTGTGAATGAAGGATGAGTCATGAATTCTATTGACACTTATTATTAAGCACTATTTTTAGATAAGCAAAGAGGAAGGACACAGAAGGAGTTTGAACTGCCCACACTGTAAAAAAAGTTGGGCAAAACAGTGTTGGGCATTTCTAATTTGCCCAACCTTGGTTAAAGCTACATCACTGTTGGTCAAATATTGACCAGATATTGGGAAGAATCTGCCCAAAGGTTGCTAAGTTGATATTTTTACCAACATTGGGCAAAATACCAACCCAAAATTGACCAACCTTTTTACAGTGCAGGCTATAACTGCCAATTTGCGCTTTCTTGCATACCTGGTATGTCCACAGCCAGGCGCAGCGAGCGCTTGTTACACACCATCTGTTTCAAAACTACGAAACCCCTTCGTACCCGATGATCTTCGCCGCAATATTCCGCTGGTAATCTGCATCCTTATGACTTTGTGTACTGAGGTATAGGATATTAAATTTTCAACCATTTGTTGGTGCTTGGTATGATCCCATAACAACATTAAGTTTAACGCTTGCACCAGTTGCTTGCATTTCAACGCGTGTATCCTAAATGTACATGTGCAGTCATTGCCCTTACTGAACGCTTTCTTCTGGTCCTGAGTTATTTTGGGAATAAATAGCCCCGTAGTTTACAGGATTTTGTGTTTTGTTTGAATTCTTTTTATTATGGCTTTTGTACAAAAGTGTATTTTACGAGGTTTCATGATCACTCCCTGTGATGAAATAGTACATTTTGTTCCTTATAGACTCAGCTTTCTAGTACTTGTCAACTTTTTGGGGCCAGTCTTAGCCAAATTCGTACCAAGTCTTTAAACACTGATGTATTGGAGGGAGGAGAATAAAATGGTAAACTTTGCATCGATAATGGAACAGTGTATCAAAATTAAAATAGTTTATTCATAATGGCAAAAAGTAGGTCCAATATTAGGGATTTTCTCTCTATTGCCTGGTAACAGCAATTATTTGTATTTAATTGCAAGCAAAACACTACAAGTATTGCTTGGATATTACTGGCCCCGCTTGTCCAGCCAAGATGCAGGCAGTAGTCAAGCATTTTTTAGAATGTTCTTTTATTATTTGTCTGACTCCGCGGCAACGATCATGGAACACTTTGAAGTGCTGGAGTTGCAACTCCTGTGTCCTTCCTCTATGGGATAAGTAAACAGGGTCACATGCAACCCACAAGCCCCTATTCTCCAAAGCAGAGCGCAGTATTCCGAAGGTCTACATCACGGGGACGCAGCGGTCCAATCAGAATCAGTCTTAGCATCAACTAAGAACGCCTGCATGTACACTATGGTATCCTGTCGTCACCCTTCCAGTTGCAACTTTAAGTTCATATCCCTTTAAATCTACAGACAAGGGATCAATGGGAAGTCATTTGCAGCCCAGGTGTTCTGGTCGACAGCTTCTTGACGCCGATGCTGACACATTGTATTGGAATTGTACCTTTGAAGCCTCTGGCGGTCACTCCTTGTTAAAAGCATGGGAACCCGATGACACAAAAATAGGCTGACAGGGAGTCATAAAAATGACGCGTCGCAAAGTCTAAGGTTTCTTCAAAGCTACGGCTTAAAAAAAAGGGGGGGGGACTCGCCGGGAGCAGCCAGGGCTGATGGTTGTAGCTATCGCCCACAGTTAAACTCGTATTACCCCGGAGCGGTACGCAAAATAGCGTCTGTCGTCAGTCCAAACGGGAGCAATGTTTTTGTTACTTTCACTGATGAAAATGATTAAGGCAAAGATGATGGTATCTAACTCACTCATGGACGAAATAAATGGAAGGTCATTCATGGCAAAAAATTACAGCTTGGACAAATTGTGCTGCATGTTTATCCATGGTGCTTCTCCAGATTCGAAATTACCCGTCCTATCTAGTCACGTCAGAGAGAACTAATGATATTGAGACACACAGGGAAACCGAAATTGCTGACACACACAACGCTGCTGTTGAATATTTATGATTCCCACGTGCAGTCGTGTATGTTCATGGCGCTCATTACCAAAGTACGCGTGCGCAAGATTTGCATAGCAGCAGGCTATGTCTGATTTCGCGCGCTTAGAGTTCAAAATGATGCGTCATCTTTGTTAATGGAATTTCAGGAAAAAGAGCATATATAAGGAAAATTTTCATGACCAATCCAAATTACGTTTTATTTTTCAGTAGCATTGATTTTGTGCCGTACCTCAAAAGAAGCATTGAAAAATGTGGTTTTTAATAACCCAAAATTATATATATAACGGTTTTGCCCGTACCCAACGTATGTTAATAAGCACTGTATGCTCAATGCTGTCCGAGAGCTTGCAAAACCGTACCCGTTTGCCCGTACCCGTTGGGTACGGGCAAAACCGTTATATATATAATTAACATCTCCCCAACGCAAAAATACATCTTGAAAACCCAAAATTATTTTACTTTTCACCTTAACAAATTGAGTGTTGCTAAATTTGATCAATATAATTATATATATTTAAAATGAGTTTTCCTGATTATAAAAACTAGATTTAATTGACTGCACTCAAAAACTGGGACCCGCCAGATAGAAATTTTTGTAAAATGAGTTTGAATTTGAACTAAATTTTCGCGCTAAATCGTGTGAATCAAGACCTTTTGTAATGGAAAATACATCAAATATCTCACCTAAAAAAATGTTTGTCCTAATAAAAATTAGATCTCAAAGTCGGAAATTAATGTTTTGTCAAACTTGCACCGTACTCTTGCAAGGGCAAACTTTTGAGTAACATTCTTGTAGTGGCGAGTCACTGGTCAAGTGCAGTCGAGTATTCATGTTTACGTGTGTACGCGTGGAATGTACATCGTGCATGATCATGTACATACATGATCACAGTGGTGTAACTACGGGGGGGGGGCACGGGGGCACGTGCCCCCCCCCCCCCCCCCCCCCCC